CCCCCCCCCCCGCCCCCACCCTCCCAGCCAGGCGCGCATGCCGACCTTTGCAAATTCAGCCGCTGCTTTGAGCCCAAAATGGAAACAGTAGTTTTGTGTCCCAGACTCACTCCAAGTTTGTCGAGGAGGTTTTACCGAACCTCGGGAACCGATGCCATCTGCCTGAATGTTGACATGCCCGTGGACGCGAATCTTTTTTCATTTCTCCTCCTCCCTTCCCCCCGGACAGTGTTACAGTGAACATTTAGCATTCTGTTTTTGGTTGATAGTTAAGCAAACTGACATTACAGAAAGTGCCTTAGACACTACAGTACTAAGACAACGTTAAATACATTATTTGCCTCTGTAACAACTTACTGTATAAGTTCTGACTTTGCTTCATATCATGTACCTCTCTAGTCAAAGTGGTATTATAAACATTCAGTGACAATGAATCAGTGTTAATTATAAATCCTTGATCCTCTGCAACGTGCTTGAAAACACCAACCTTTTGGGTTAAAAGCTTTAACATCTGTTAGGAAGAATTTGTCATGTGGGTTTGGAACCTTTGGTTCCCCCCCCTTTACGAATTGTACTGGCTGTTGACCACCAGACACCTGACTGCAAAGAATCTTTTTTCTTGTATTCCCATATTTCTAGACAATGATTTTTGTAAGACAATAAATTTATTCATTATAGATATTTACGCCTGCTCTGTTTACTTGGAGGAAAAAGCACCCGTTGAGAATAAACAGACCTCAATAAACGACAATAATCGTGTAAACGTGGCATCTGTTTTCATCTTCTGTTCTCAACGTCCCACCTGGGCTCTGACTGGAGGCTGTGAACTCCAGACTCCAAACGCGGCCGGCCAGGCCCGCCGTTTCCGAGGGCGCTGTGCTCCCAGAAGCTGAGGGGTGACGGACTGGCTCTCTGGGCAGGCTTGGCTAGGAGTCCGGCTCACACGGTGGCCCCAGCGTGTGGACACGTGGCGGGGGGAAAGGGCCGCTGGGGCTGGAGACCCAACGGTTAGTGGAAAACGGGGCACTTCAGGGCTGCGAGATGAAGCCTTCAGGAGGGTTTCGGGCACCAACCAGTGCTCATTACCGGATTCCGTGTTTCAAGCGGTTTCAGACTATGGCTTCGGGCAGGACGTCCGCACGTGCTTTGGGTAGAGGCGCCCGGGTGGCTCGGTGAAGTGTCCAACTTCGGCTCGGGTCACGATCTCCCAGCTTGTGGGTTCAAGCCCCACTTCGGGCTCTGTGTTGACAGCTCGGAGCCCGCTTTAGATTCTGCATCTCCTGCTCGCTCTGCCCTCCCCAAATCCTGCTCACGCTCTCAAAAATAAAAAAACAAAAAAGGGGGGGGCACCTGGGTAGCTCAAGTCGGTTAAGCGTCCAACTTCAGCTCAGGTCGTGATCTTGCAGTTTGCAGGTTTGAGCCCCGCGTGGGCTCTGTTCTGACAGCTCAGAGCCTGGAGCCTGATTCGGATTCTGTGCCTCCCCTCTCTGCTGCTCCCCTGCTCACGCGCTCTCTCTCTCTCTCTCAAAAATAAACGTTAAAAAAATTTTTCTTAAAATGCTTTGGGGAGGATTCAGGGGTGAGATCCAAGGGCAGCCTCCCTAGTGTGGGCCAATGAGGAGAGGC